TTGTAAAAATCGACGCGTTTCAGAAAGGCGGGGCATAGAGGAGAAACAATAATGTACAGTATGTGGAAAACAAAGTGTTTTTTGAACCTTAAATGGCATAAACACATTTCATTACACCAAATACACAAAATAATGTTCTTTTTAGCAACATCATATGACCCTGTTCAAATTTTATGGTCCTGACTCTGAGCTAACAAGAACCAACAATGTATAGTTGTTTTTTTATTAAATAATGTTATCAAGGATTAATAAATACTGTAGCAAATTTCTGTAACACTTTAGTATAGGGACCAGTTCTCACTATTAACTAGTTCCTTATTAGCATGCCTATTATTAACATATTGGCTGTTTATTAGTGCTTATAAAGCACATATTCTGCATGACTATATTCTACATCCCTATACCTACTACCTACTAAATAATAATAAGCAGTAAATTAGAAGTTTACTGAGGCAAAAGTCATAGTTAATGGTTTGTTAATAGCGAGAATTGGACCTTAAAATAAAGTGTGACCCAAATTTCTTGCTCGTTGTTAATTAATGGTAGTTAATGCATTAACTAATGGAATCTTATTGTAAAGTGTTGCCCAGATTTCTTTTTTTTTTTCCTGAAAAAGAATTTGTACCACTGTACCAACATTGGTTACAGTTCATAAAAAGTTCAATTTGTCAATGCATTAAATTCCATGAATTAACAACAAACAATACTTTTTAATCATTTTTAACATTTCAAGCTGTATAAAAACATTATTTTATCTATGTTCATTCTTAAAATGAGATTAAGAAATGCTGTAAGAACTATTGTCCTTTTTTTTCATTCATGATACCCAATGCATTAACTAATGTTTACATGTTGAACTTTCTTGTAAAGTTTTACCAAAATATTTTAGTATGATATCCATATTTGTCTTGATATTTTGACCTCATTCATTGTAAACCAAAGTCAAACTCTGTCCGTTTCGGATGTTATTTCTGTCTGGTCAGCATCGTGTGTGACGTTTTATGGAGTCAAACTTGCATCATTGTCCTTGCTCAAGCCTCTATCTCATAAGACTAGAATAAGCCAGCCGACAATTTCCTGCTGGGTTGCAAAAGTGTGTCTGTGTTCTGTCAGGTGACATTGTGAAATTATTAACAGTATTTACACTGTGTTAAACAACATACATTTACATCTAAACAAACCATTGCTGCCTGTCTGGATTCTAGGCAGCTGATGGGAGTAAACATAAGCTGTTTGCAGATGTGCCTTTAAGTACATGTCACACATCAGAGAACTTTTTGTTAATGATAGACTTGGATGAGCTTTGAATTTTATAGGCGGACCCAGCATGAGCACATTTGAAACATTTCTTTGACAGATCGCTCTGTACATTTGGCTTGAACCGGTTGTGTGGATGTTGTGCATGAACAGCAAGCTAAAGCTTCCACTGATGGGCCATTAATGTGGGTCAACTTTTAGAATGGATGGGGTATGAAAGAGAAGAGAGATTTCTATTACATGGCTTTTTGGATTGCAGTGTAGTAGTATGCGTGCCTCATTTTCTTGAGAATGAATTCTCAGTCTTTGATATAGCTTTAGTAAACTCTCATTTTAATTGCTTCTATTTTGCAAATGAAGATGGAAATAGGACCAAGTTCTTAGAACATGTCAGCGTTTTTAGCACTAGTCTCAGATTGGTAACACACTGGTAACAATGGAACCCATATGTTCCTGCAAGAACTCGAAATACTGTCAGCAGTTCTTCCAGGAACCTTCCAAGAATCATCAAAGAAACGACTTTGAGGATTTTTGTATATTGGATTAAAGCCAAAATAAAATATTGGATAAAAAACTTACATTTGATTGTACAACTAAAACTAAACTTGAAATAAAAATCAATTAAACCTAAATAGTAATTTAAATAAATTTGTAAAAATGACAAAAGCACAAAAAATTACTGAAAACTGAAATATATCAAAAAAATTATAGTATATAAATAATACTAAAATAGTACTGGATCTGTGTGTTCCATTGTCAGCTCTAGATGCTGCATTCACACTCTTGAGATGACGTTTCATGTAATACCCACTTCTTCATGCACTGATTTGATTGCATTGGCTCTTGAATAATGATTCACAGAAGGAGGCTTTTTTTTAATAAAGAGGCTTTTATAAATCACTCATTCAGTGGGCCTGATTCTCCTACTCTGCAACAGACATATAATCATTCCCCCTGTGTGTGTGTGGATGGGACACTTGCTGCCCTGACCCTGTTGTGTGTGCTAGTGTGAGATGAGAGAAAATTAATGAGTGAGTAAAGGGATAACAATGTTCCACAAGCATTTACTAAAGCTTAGCCTGCTAGTAGGCTTAACCACTGACCTCAATGCCTTTTCCCCTGTAGGTCTATGCTCATTTTCTCTCATACTACCAGCTGAATTTAATTTTACTTTGTGGTTTTTAAAATGCAATTTAGATTCACCTATATGAGTTTACTATTCTTCCTTTGCCATAATAAAAAAATATCTCTTTTATCGCAGTTGTTTATCCTAGACAGCAATGAGGCAAAATTGAGAATACATTGAAACTTTTCCCCTACATCTTATGGTTATCATATTGTTTAGTCCCCCAGCATTCTCAGCATGTTTCTCTTTTTGAAAGAGGTCTTAAAGAGTTACCCAAAAATGGAAATTCTGTTTACTCCCCCTCATGTTCCAAGCCTGTATGACTTTTTGATCTTTGAAACACAAATTAAGACATCTTTAATGAAACCTTAGAGATTTTTGTCTCTACTGAAAGTCCATGCAACCATAAAGAGATCATGAAAAAAATCCATAGGAATGCTGTTTAATCCATGTCTTCAGAAAAGATGCAATCACATTTTATGATGAACAGATTTAATTTAGATTATTAACATGTAAACATTGATCAGCGCGCATAATTTGAGCACATCAAATATGATAAATGAAAGGTCAAACATGCTTGCTTCATGTCAGTGAAGTATGGTGGAGCTTCTGTTGACCATATTTGATGTGCGCTGTGTATGTGTTAATAAATGTAGTAAATGATGAGACAATTTTCATTTTTGGGTGAACTTTACATTTAATGACATCACAAACTGTGCTCTCAAAATATGCAATCAAAAGATTTTATTATGAAATTGTCATCAGGTTCTTACAACACCAAATGTGATCATGTAAATAAGGGTAATTTTTTTGGAATTGAGAAACAATTACACATCATCTGAAAGCTGAATAAATAAGCTTTCCATTGATGTATGGTTTGTTAGGATAGGAAAATATTTGAAAGTCTGGAATCTGAGGGTGCAAAAAAAATCTAAATATTGAGAAAATCGCCTTTAAATCTGTCCAAATGAAGTTCTTAGCAATGCATATTACTAATCAAAAATTAAATTTTGATATATTTACAGTAGGAAATCTACAAAATATATTCATTGAACATGATCTTTACTTAAGGGCCTAATGATTTTTGGCATAAAAGAAAAATCAATAATTTTGACCCATACAATGTATTTTTGGCTATTGCTACAAATATACCCCAGCGACTTAAGACTGGTTTTGTGGTCCAGGGTCACAAATTATCTGTGCCATGACATCCAAGTTAACTAACAATAAATAATTTCTTCTCCATTTAGTTCTCCTAAGGGATTTTAGAAAAAAGCATCTGAGAAAAAGTTGATACTTAAATGAAACATGAATCTGTTTGTCTTTCCTTCTCTGGCAAAACAGATCTGAGTGATCAGCTTCTGGAGGTGGTGGGTTTGGAGGGAGCCATCGAGATGGGTCGGATCTACACAGGTCTCAAGAGCGCTGGGCGGCGTCTTGCACAGTGTTCCAGTGTCACCATCAGGTCAGCAGTTCGTGCCTGTCCACATACACATTGACTAAATGTTCAGTATTGGTCCAACTCATAGGCAAACACTCTGATGACTTGTGTCCATGGCTCTGAAACATCTCTCTTCCCCTTCCCCCTCAGCAGGACGTCTTCTCTTGGCCAATGCAGCTAGTAAATCAGACCTTTGACCTGCTGTCACTCGCTTTGCCAACAGCTCTAACATTCTGGACTCGCTCGTACTGTTGAATAATGATGTTTGTAGCATGTCTAAACACACACTGCTCAGTCCTGACGTATGCTAATGAACCAGTTTAGACTCATCACTTATGAGGTGCTAGTTCACAAGTTTGTGTTGCCCCGGCCTGCTTCGCTCCATTAAACACTCATAATGACCCTAACAGTTAGTTCTGAATTGAAGCGAGGTGATTATTCACAATTTTTGCTGCCGTTTCCTCACCTGTACACAGGGTCGTTCTGCCCACGACCTAACGCTTTCCGTAATAGGCATTAATAACGCATTCATCATTGTCATTCTCCCATGCTGTGTTGCTTTAACTTGTAGTGGCCCTGCTGAAAAGACTAAACTAACTTTTTGTAACTGTGTGTATGTGGGAATAGAGGTGCTGAACTGTGTGAGTGTGTTAGTTTAGAGAGTAAGGGGCCCGACTGGGAACGGGGCTGTGGGAACAGAGAGCACAGTGTTCAGAGCCGTCTAGGAAAAGTGTTGTATAGGAGTCTCGTGCCCGCGATCTGCCTGGTCAGTGACCTGACCCGTAACAGCTCTGTCTTTTTTTTCCTCTGTCCTTGTCTCTCCGTCCACAGGACGTCCCGTCTGCTGCCCATGCAGATTGATGGAGAACCGTGGATGCAGCCTCCATGCACGGTCAGCTCATTTGATTTGGCTTTCGTTTACAATTTTTTATGTAAATGTCTGAAACACAGACTCTTTCATGACCCATACCAGCCAATCCAACACTGTAATTAAACAAGACAAGACATTTCACTAATGTGACTGCACCTTAAAGGGATAGTTCACCCAAAAATGAAAATTATCCCGTGACTTACTCACCCTCAAGCCATCCTAGGTGTATATGACTTTCTTCTTTCAGACAAGTACAATCGGAGTTATATTAACAAGCTTTATAATGACAGTGAACGGGGGTCGGGAATTTGAAGTCCAATAAAGTGCATCCATCCATCCATCATAAAAAGTGTTCCACACGGCTCTGGAGGGTTAATAAAGGCCTTCTGAAGCGAATCAATGCATTTGGGTAAGAATAATATTCATACTTAAAACTTTATAAACCGTAATCTCTAGCTTCTGCTAACTGTCATACATGCGTTCACGAGAGAGTGCCGTTCCAGCAGATGATGTATAGTTTAAGCTCCGGTGAGAAGTGACGAACGCGGAAGTGCAGAGGAGAGAGCAAAAAAAAAAAAAAAACCCCGGCCAAGGTATTACAAGAACAAAATAAGGATTTGTAAAGAAAAATGTCGGAGGATTTCAATATAAACCAAGAGGAGACTGGTTTTCCTTTGCTGTAAAAAAAAACTTGGTTCTTGAGATATTGTGAACAATGTGTACGACAGTTAGTGGAAGCTAGAGATTATGTTTATAAAGTTTTAAATATGGATATTTTTCTTACCCAAATGCATCAATTCACTTCAGAAGGCCTTTATTAATCCCCTGGAGCCATATGGAGTATGATGGATGGATTCACTTTATTGGACTTCAAAATCTCAACAGCCATTCACTGCCATTATAAAGCTTGGAAGAACCAGGACATTTTTATAATATAACTCCGATGGTACTTGTCGGAAAGAAAAAAGTCATATAAACATAGGATGGGATGAGGGTGAGTAAATCATGGGGTGATTTTCATTTTTGGGTGAACTATCCCTTTAAGGCTGATTTGACCTTCAACTCAATTGCTTGGTCCAAACCTGCGTTCGATTCCACACCAAAGATCTCATTTAACATTGTACATTTGAGTCTGACCCATGATACAATTGGGTCACAATACATAATTAATTGCACAAGTCTCACCTCACAGTCCAGATCAGCTTTCCAAGTGGAGTTTTCTGCCAAACAACCCAAAATACGATGTCAAATGGCCTCATGGCATTGAGTCCACTAACATATAAGAGTTCAAATCAGCTTTTTCGTATTTTTCTATTTACATTTACTTTTATGCTTTGGCAGATGCTTTCACACTGCATTCAAGATGTACGTTTTTTTTATGCAAGTACTTGTTGGTTCTGTGAAGTTGCAATGGAATAACTGCATTACCACATCCAAGTGGCAAAAGATTATAAATAAAAAACATATTTTAGAAAGAGACCACAGTCTCTGTCTGCTCTTAAAGTTCACAAGAGTATGTGATGTAATGTGAAGTCAGATACACCCAATGCTCAATGATAGGTTTCAGTTCAGAGCAGGACCTTTTTCTCCATCTCAGAAAATTGCCTCCTCCCATCTGTTGCAGCTTTGTATACTCACCAATCCCAGCGAGCAGACTGTTAATTAAAACACTGTCATGTCACACCCTGCCATTGACTGATTATGTCATTAAGAGAGTGGAATAAACATGCAGCTTTCCATCTGCACATAGCGCCAACACAATGTCCTCCGCTATATATACATCTCTATCAGCGCAAGCTCTAAAAAAAGTGTGCCGCTGTGCTTTTAGTCCTCTCTAATTTGCCCAACTGTGCAGAGGGGAATATGGGATGTTATTTCAGTTTCAAGGTCAGCTCTTACGTTCTCAAATTTGTGCCTGTTAATCTGGACATGTGTGACTTCTGTCATCTCATTTGCTGAATGTGAACGATACAACTGCTTAAAACAGTGAGTAATTAACAAGCAGAAGGATGTTCAGATTTGGTTGTGTCTTCAGAGAGTAATCTTGTCTTCTTTCCTGCAGATACGGATCACGCATAAGAACCAGGTGCCCATGCTGCTGGGACCGCCACAGAAAACGTTCTTCTTCTTCAAGAAGCGCAACAGAAGTCGGGACTAGATGTGGGACTCCAAATATCAACCACTTTTCTACAATCATACACTCAAGCATCTCCACCTTCCTCAGCTAATACTTCATCTTTGGGAGGTGGGACCCAAAGAGAAGAGACCTTTCAAACACAACACTCAATACAATCAATACAAACACAACACTGTAATGGATCTCTAATGGACCCCATCTCCCAACACAACCTGATATTCACAGGCTGAACCGGTTGAACAGACCCTCTCTGAGTGTCATGACCACTTCCTGTGTCTTATCATCCAGAACGTCTTATCACAGGCTTGTGACCTGTAAGCTATGACTCAATTCCAACCAAATCCCCCCCCTACCAGTAGGCCACTGCCTTGGGATCACACTGTGTGCCCTCTCCCTCCTCTTGAGACGGCTCATCAGAAGATACTGCCAATTTCAAAGAGAGGAAGAGAGGACCAGAAAAGCAAGAGACTCGCCCAGCAAAAGGAAAAGAAGTGTGTTCAAGTGAAAAGAGAAGGAGAGCGACAGACAACCTAGGACGATAATGTTCTTCACATGAGTGTTGGTGGTGCACATATGGACGTCACTGGGCCCTGGCTTAGCCTAGCAGGACCAGGGAACAAAAATTTCCTCCTAAAGGAGCTTACTGAATTATACATCAGTGCATGCAAAGCACTCGTTCCAGTGCCTCTCCAAGGCCCTGCGACATGCCACCACTAAAGAGATGAAACAGCATACTCATCCATTATGAAGATGTTTATGGGGGTCTGCTGATAGGGATAAGTTAGACTGGCCTGAAAGAGATGAAACATTTCAGCTTCTGGTGTTTGCTCCAGGCAGTTTTGGTGTTCACCCTCAGGCCGCAAGACTGACCAGTGCAAGTTTTGTTATAGTTAGCTGGATGTTTATTTAATCCCGTACTGCCCTCTAAAACAACAGTGCTAGCGTTCAAGCGTGGAGAATGGACCTAAGGTCTCAAAAATGCAGTATAAGTTTAGAAAATCCTTAGAAGAGAGAATTAGTGTACTAAAGCAGTTTTACCAATGAGCATTTATATCGTAGCAATTTCTGCAATAATATGATGATTTTATCATGTTTTTTAAGCCAAATCAAAATAGCGTACCATTAAGTTTGGGAGTAGATTCTGTCGATAAAAAAACATCTTACACATCTGTTGGCTAGATTCAGAGGGGTTTGAGAATTATTCAACTGGGAGACGGCTAGACTAGCTGAAGACCATCTTAAGACCATCTTAATAGCCTTTTCACACCAACACGAATGTATGGCACAGAAATTCGTTTCAGTTTTCACATGTGATTTGTCTGTTCAGACCAATGCGAAAAACGGAAGAATGACTGAATGAAAAATGCAACTTCACTCTATGACAGTAGGTGGCGCTTAAATGAGTTTTATGTAACAGCAGCAACTCAGGGCATGTGATCAAAAAAGTGAGAATTATATTGGTTGGCTGGTTTTCTTGATAATGCAATCTATTCAAAAACAGATTAGAACATCTTTCTGAAAAACAGAATTTTCACACTAAATATTCGTCTTAGTGTGAACAGGTCTTACACCAGCTAAGACCGTCAAACCAGTTTAAGCCAGTTTTAAGCGTTTTTTTTACAAAAGGAACATTAAGGACATAATGGTAACACTTTAAGACAAGGATTAATTTGTTAACATTTGTTAATGCATTAGATGTCAACAACTAACACTGAAAGTATATTTACAGCATTTAATAATCTCGCTTAACTTTAATTCATAAATGTAATTGCTTGGTTCAAGTTCAATTCCACCACATAAATTTATACTATTGTTCATTGTTAATTCATGTATATTCATATTATGTTAAATAATGTAATACAACCTGAAAAATCCATGAATATATGAAGACATTAACATTGACCAGGATAAATCCTGTAAAAATATTCTTAATTGTTAGCTCATGATGCATTAACTAATGTCAACAAATTAAATACTGTTATATTTTGTTACAGAAACAATTTAAGAAAAAAATTTCTCCATATTTCTGAGAAAACAGAAAGTCTCTTCACTGTAGCATCTCCATTCAGAGGCGGGCTGAAATCGATCCAGCGCTGGTATTAACACTGAATCCTCTGGTCCTCGTCTGTCACAACAAGCTACTGCAGTGGGGTTTGATTTACTGCTGCATGGACAGAGCCTAAATTTAACTTCCTATTTCAGGGAGTGAAACACTATTCCTAATTGCAGCATGAAAACATCAGCTCGCAATTTCAGGTCGACAGTCAAGCGGGTGTGTAAGCGGCCCAGATGAATGCAGAGAACGGAAGTTACTTACAGTTAACGGTCAACAACAGTGACCTTCTGAGAAGGCCCGTAAAGAGTATTTAACTTAAAGATGCCCACTATGTGTCAGTATTCATATAATCCAGGAGCCTTGTGTGCATATATATGAATGTGTTTAAAGGTATAACTTAATATAGTATCAGAGATTAGCTAATGGGTCACATGATTGACTGTAGCCATCGGGCAGAGTTGCCTGATATAGATCAACATGCAGTGATCATCAGATGCTTTCACAGTGAGCCGTAGGGCGCAAATGTCTGTGTTGGAACTGTATATATATATTTCACCAATACAGAACTGGGGTCAGATTGACTTCAGGTGTCGACTTTAGGGTTAGCAGGTTAACGTTCCCTTTAAAGAACACTGAACCGCAGAAGCTACGCCAGTGTACTAAAAAATGCTAATCTCTCCATATGACCACAGAACAGACGTTCACCTCCAGCCAGTGAGTCGGTTTATCATAGAAGTTAATGGTGGATTTGGCTAAAAGAGCCCCATTGTTCCTGTGGTCATTGGACAGATGGTTTATCCTGTGTGACAGTCTGGTGTTTAAAGAACGGTGGTTTGGTTACAAGTGCATGTTTACAACTACTTTTCATTTTACAGTTTAGAATGGTTTTAAACAGTCATGTATATATAGATATTGTTTATATTTTCTCTAAAGTTTAACCACCGCATGCCTGCTGAAACAAAGAAGACAAAGACGTCTGCTTGAAGAGAGACCACTCTGATTGTTGCTTCTTTATTAGTTTCACATGATTATATTTTTGGACCCTATCCAGGCCCCTTGTATCTACCCGCTGTGCTTTTCCTCAATCCGTTAGTAGCATGTTCATTGTACAAGTACCTCTGTGGATGTTCTCTGTTCTGTTTTGTATTTTGTAAACTGAGGTTTGGCGCCAATGTATGCCAATCGATGGGCGACTGAGGAATGTCACGTTTGGGAAATGTCATTTCTAAATGGTACCGATGTCACCTTCTGTGTCAATTCTGTGAATGACTGATAGCCTTAACTTACTAATACAAAATAGCATTTTGCTTGGAGCAAAGACTTTTGCAATACAAGTCACTGAAAAAAAAATCTACCAAATGAAGGAACA